TTAACACCCATGCCGATCAGAATACTTAATATTCGAGCCTGTATCGCGATATGCCATGATAATGATATAACATCATTATCATGGCATATCGCGATACAGGCTTAGCATTTACTCTGTGGTTCGGTTCGGGTAATGGGTTATATGTTTTTGTACCATAATATAATATAAAAATAGTGTAACATGTAATTTTTTATTTAAACCTACAGCAAGAGAAAATTTTAATACATATTGTCTATTCATTTGGTATTATGTACTTATTTGTAGCTGGTTCTAAAATAAACAATATTTTAATTTATTTTAATTAAGAAGGAATGATTGGAAATACGAAAATATTTTTGTAGAAATTCCAAACAAAAAGCTTCAGAGAGATTAGTGACAGTTTTAATTAATTCTGTAATTGTTTTTATTTATAATTTTAAAATCACTAAACCAGCTAAGTAAGCCAATTAGAGCTATTTCGCAGTCACTCGAAACAAAACACGTTCAAAAGTTGTGTAAAATGCCATCTATCGGCATTTGTACATATTAAGAAGTTATAAAATTTGTAACTAACAATACAAATGAAGGTGAAATGTAGTAATTTTTATGGAGGCTCGAAAATTACCGCAATAATATGAAATATTCTTTCACCTCTTGAAAGATACTCTATTTTAGATCGGTATATAATATTCATCATCATCAATCAACAGCCTTTACTAGTCCACTGCTAGACATAGGCCTCGCCTTAGAAAGGAGGTATTGGCCACGCTGGCCAGACGGGTTCGTATAGTCTCTCTGCAGTGCTCTTGTTCTGCGTAGTATTCTCCCTTAGTCCGCTCTTACGACACCCACGGGATGACTAGGGGTGGTGACACTCTGTGTTCTTAATCCATCTATATAATATTATCCTGATTGTATTCCGTAGGTACTAATCTGGATCTGGAATCTGGCCAATAGATACATAATATATATATGTATGTATAAACGTATTGAATGTTGACTTTACATAATTAGAACAAGAAAGTAGAAAAGCTTTCATACCATAAGCACCAATTAGAAGTTTTGTTTTTATTTGAGAGTTACGGATCACCAAAAACATTACGAAATTGATATCACACATATCTGCATAAAGTTGGTAGGTTTACGCTTGTGTGACTGCTTTTGCAATGTAGATATACAAAACAAACAAGTTTCTATACCGCATTAAGTAATTCTTTTTTTGATTTGATGATGCTTAAGATCTTAGCAAACAAGAAATGACACATCTATGGTACTTGTACTCGTATTTAAATCTGCCACGAAATTCTAAAATAATGTTGACATGTGTCGTTTTTATTTTTAAACTTTGTTGATGGATGCTATGGCTAGAATAATACTAATTTGAAAAAACATCAACATGACATTTAATAATATTCAATGAAAAAAAAAACTAATTAAGAACTTGTTTATGTTTCATCACAGTTACTGTTGGCAAGTGTAAAACCCTCTTAAACGCACGAACGTAAATCGTTGTTTTGTAAACGAACCACAATACTAGCTGAACTTGAGACTTTGCCAAATTATCACTGTACTTTGTAATAATTACCTACCTACAGTTTACCAAGAAAGCTCATGTCTTAATATATCTCCAGTAATTTCGACCTTCGTTACCTCACAATTATAAGCAATTAGGTAGTAAATATAATATGTACTGTCACTGAAGAGAGGATAAATCCACCGGCACCCTCGCTTCTTGGCTGCTTATCAACATAAACATTCTTCATAGTAACCGTTGTGCCCACGCGCAGATGATGGAACTGCTCGTTCTGGAACACGAACTAACTGATGCAATAATTTATTTATTGTATCGTTACGTTTATAAACAAATTTCTATATTTGTAGTAGTTTTTTATAAAATATATATCACATTATAGAAGAGGAGATTTCTTAGGTTACTTTAGAACATTTTGATAGGACCGGTCTTTTAATAGTTTAAATATGATGAACTGAGGATTTAAGCCAGATTTGCCAAGAACATGTCATTGTAATAATTATAATAATTTCACTTAATGGGATTTTCGGGACCGGGTGGCCCCAGATCAAACTTTTATAAAATAATTACTTTTAAGCTATCTATTGGCACAAAAAAACATAGTATTTTTTTCGATAAAGTAGACTAGTACAAAAAATGCCGGTTATAATTTATAACTGAAAGCAATTTTACACGAACTTTATTTGAAGGGTGTGTTTCAGATTATAGTTGGCGTACTGAAAATTAAATCACATTTTCGTTAGAAAATAAATACTTTTAATAAATACAGTGTACTGCTAATATTATCTATTCTGTCTTATAACTGAATTAATAATTATTTACTTTGTTTAGAAAGACACGGAGCTTAAAAAACCCTGACGTTTCAAGATGACAGAAAGTTGCGTGAAATAGATTGCACACCTACACGTAGTCTACACATTTTAACATGTACAATATTTTACCTAACTAGGCATATCATAACATACACATTTAAGAATCCTTCAATAAACCATAATCATCTAGCCTAGTCTACAAAGCCACAACCATACCTACACAATTTCCCAACAACCTTTAACGGAAAAGGGAAAATTTACTACAAAACCTAATACATACATAATATTTGAATGAATAGGTTGAATGACCTCTTTGAATCTGTGTCCCAAGTCAAATAATCTAAATAGAATTTAGCTGGCATGCGTCGTATATTATACTGCGATATCCCGACATTGGTATGTTCAATAACACGTTACGGTCTGAAATATTTTAGTCAAAAACAACTTCACAAGAATTCATCTTTCAAAGAGGAAAGTGACATTAATAGAGTGATGACCTCTTTTATTTACATTTTTTTATAGAAATAATCAATGGATAGATAACAAGGGGGCGGTGTTTTTTTTTTTTCACTTTCACACAACGCCATCTAGTCCCAAACTAAGCAGAGCTTGTACTATGGGTACTAGACAACTGATATAAATACATATATACTTTTTTTTGTAAATACATACTTATTATACATAGAAACACCCAGACTAAATCAAACATTAAATGTTCATGCACAAAATTTTTTGACTTGAGCGGGAATCGAACAAGCGACCTTTGGAATAGCAGTCCGTTACACAAACCACTACGCCATTCGGTCGTCAATTGGAAATTGGAAGCTTAATGGAAAATCTTAATTGGAATATTGGAAGCTTAATGAAGTTTTACGCAATCAATCTGCCACCAGAGGCAGATGGCTGGTATCGTCGCCGACGTCCTCTACCGGCCGTCGTCCGTCTGGTCGTAGATCCTCGCATCCATATCCGCCAGGATATGAAAAATAGGTGATAGGAAAAATGTACAGGGCCAAAATAAATAGTGTGCCACTTATTATAGTTATGCTTCCAGTCCCAGAAAATATTACCGGTACTTTGTCCAAACTAATTATATTATGATAGAATTAAAACCAAAAGGCCTATCCAAATTATTATATTATTAGCAGTTGTTAAGGCAGTGTAAATCTTATTTTTTATAATATTGTTGACACGTGTTATTATTTGAACCTTTTTTTTACGGCGGGGATGTGTCGGAATTGAACCGACTAAAACCACATGGTGTGCCACTCTGCGCTTGTAATAGGGGGGATCCGGGAAATTATTATTTGAACCTAATACAACCAATCGCTTGAGCTAAAATTAAACAAGCCTTATCTTTGAGATACAAATATATAGGAAGTAACCACTGAGGGTGGTGATGGATCAAGAATACGGAATGTCACCACCCTTATTCATTTCGTTGGTGTCGTAAGAACCGACTAAGGGGCAAACTAAACAGGACTGCGTAGATTGCTCTCTTAGTCGGCCCTGCATACACTCGCAGATAGCACTGCACTTGTGTAAAAAACTAGCTTAAAAATCACCAGGTGTGGTATAAAATTAATTAAAGTTCTATTCTAACTGTCACCGTTATGGAACGCAGTAACGTTTATTAAAATATTTATACCAAGACGTTCGGAGTAGAATCTACTATTAGATGTATTATTTAAAAACTGGCTTTAATAAACATGTAATGCTCTGGACCGAATCCGACATTACACATATATTTTAATTATAAAATCTTACCAGATACTACTGATCAACTTAAATTTATGCAATTCGTTAAGATTAAATATGATCCTCAGATTGAGATTGCAATCAGAGAATAATTAACAAAAATTACATGAAACTTTTAACCAACTTGAAAACCCGTTATTAACGTATTTAAACAAATAAACTATCAAACAAAAAAATCTACTGATAAATTATCACATCATCACATCAACAGCCTTTAATAGTCCACTGCTGGACATAGGCCTCTCCTTAGAAAGGAGGTTTTGGCCTACTATACCACGCTGGCCAGACGGGTTGGTAAATTATAATTGTATCTATGTATAAATAAATTAATTTTGTAAATCAAAGCAAGCGAGAAGAAGATAATAAGTACCAGACCCGTTATGAACTGCGTCAATATTTGAGGTATAAGAAAAAATCTGTTCAATGTACCTACAAAGAGATATAGTATAATTAAAGATATCCAAAGACTATTAGAAAACAATAAATATTAACGTTTTGTTGTCAAAACATTCACCGCTTAAAGCTCCCATTACATACAATTTATTACGTTCACATTTTTCGCCAAGAGCCAAAATAAAACAAACGCAATTACTTATCAACGATTTTATTAGAGAAGTTTAATATTTACAATTAAATATTTGTAAAAAATACTTAACAAAGATGTGTTAGAAATAATAGGTACCTACTAATAAGTTTAAAATTAATCAATCACACAAACTTCAACGTTGTTATGCGTTGTAGATACTGACTTAGAAGAGAATAATATTAATTAACTTCGACCTTCACTTGACACAAATACTGTTCGGCATTGGTCTCATATCTCACCTTTAAGCATTAGGAAAGACAAGGAAGAAAGACATTTGCTAGTACATAGCAAAATATCTCAAGTAGTGGTTGTATACTCTTTAGCAAACGACATTTTACATGTGACGAGTGTTGCCGAAGCCACCGTGCCCGGATTGTGAAGCTCCCTTATTGAAGCCCATTTGGAGATTCAATTCGCTTTCATGAGCACGAAGTTGTTCCTCTGTGAAGACGCGCTCGTTCTTTTCCGCCATCTTGGGTCCGAGATGAGGGCCAGTAAATTCGGGGTGTTTTTGAGTCTGGAAAAAAACAATTCAGTTTGATTCGTGTTGTCCTGGAGTTAGGAGGAAAAAATTAAAGTAATGTAATACTACATACAATTCTGCCCAATGCATATAAACATAACGTGACTTGAGGAATATTGCGCCTCTCGAACAAATCAGCAGTCTGGAATATCTCCTCTTCTGGAACGCCGTACTTTTTAATGGCGGCTTGGAACCTGAAACATTTCATTTAAAAATAATCATTAAATTAATTTTATTAATGTTTCTTATGGTTGGCCACGATGTTTTTATTTTAGGAAGGTGTGATTTGTTATATTGAGTGCTCTTACACACCTTTGAATGTTTTCCATCAACTGGAAGTTGGTTCCTCTCTCTTGGATCTTTTTAACCCAAAGAATCACGCCATCCTTTAGTAAAAGTGTTACATTAGCTGCAAGTAACATGAATTAGAGACGATATGAGTTTAGGAAGTGACATAATGTGTTAGTGTAAGTAGTGTAAAAATCTTATCTGATCATGGCAATACGTACAGCCATTTTTTTAAGTTCACAGAACTATCACACTTGAATATATTAGCGAGCTTTCGCTACGAACTCGACTGGTAGACTGTTGGCTGTGATGCCGCCCGCCCAAAGCCGGCTAGCGACGCGGGGGCGGGCGAGATCACCGCTAGTTCATCTACATAATATGTAAGCAAATATATCGTGGCGTCACCTTTATTTACATTACCGAATGGTAAATAGATACTGAATAAACCCTTTCATTCATATTTTCATCAACGTCAAAAACAAAACAAAACACGCGTTCTCGTTTTTTATATTGTTTTTGTGATTAATTTGTTTTCATAATCGGGTTCGATTACACTTAACTTGCGATAAATATAAACTGATTTGACTGGTTTACAGATATTGATATCGACTGATGCAGTTGTATTTCTTGGGGATTTAATACAATTACAAACAATGAACTACGATGAAACCGAACAACTTTAACTTTTAATAACTTTTATTACAATTTGGGGTTTTAATACACTTACAAAAAAAACCTTGTGCTCTTGTAATTGTTATAATTATTCATTAATGAATCACAGTCATAGTTAAGTACCATCAATGCCAAATAATTTACTTTAATATTACGCCAATACTATTTATACTTTGATAGCGTAATGAAATCTAATTTAATAAAATAAATTGTAATTATAACATGATAAATTTTAAAGGTAATAGAAACATAAGTTAATACGTTTGATATATATGGTCATATGATGGACAGAACTTTACTGTACAACCATCTTTTGTGTAAGAAAAAGTCTGTGTTCAAATGTACTTTTAAATACAATAAAAATATTAATTATTATTATTTATAACATAGGAAGCTTTACTTCGATAGGTACAAAAATAATCTATAGTACAATTAGAACTAGGTTAAATTTTCTTTACAAAATATGTTTACACTGAGGCTTTTTTTTATTGGGACTAATCCCACCCACACGCCCACCACTGTAACTCCTGTACACCAGGATCCACAGCAGTGACCCACGAACACACCGAGTTATGACACTCGGGAAGTCCCAGGAAGAAATTAAACTGTCTTGGAACCCGCAACGAAATTAATCAGAAGAAAATTGGAGGAGTTGGAAATACAGTAAATCCACTTCCCTCCTTAGCAAAGCGGGAGACAAAATGAAGTAAAAATAGGCATACACCCTTTTAAACAGGGAAGCACCACGGCCACAAAAATATTACGGGTCCTACATGAGCTATATTTGATTTCTATAATATGTATGGCAGAATCGCCTAAACGCACGGAAATTCACCCTAGTTGACACAAGATCCCCATAGTATACCGCCCCAGATGTCACCTGCAAGCTATTCAGCATTATATTACGTTCATTATACCAAAGACTACATTCCCAGAGGATATGATGAGCAGATTGTTCATAATGAGAGTTAGGTGTTGAGCATTGACACAATGGTGACTCGACTAATTTAAATGAATACAACTTGCTCTTAAAGTTACCATGACCCGTAAGAAATTGAGCGACACAGTGATCTACCTCAAGCCATGTCCTTGACAACCGTTCGCGAACAGATGGAAAAAATTGGTAAAGATGGCGCCCCTTGGATGATTCGTCCCAGCGTTGCTGCCATTCGTCTATGAGGTCATTATAGACATCGGACTGCTGTTGAAGCAATCTTGTAATTTTACCGCGATCCCGCGCGCCCAAGAAATCGCATTCCATGTTTTGTCTTGAATAGTACATGGCTGCACGTCTCTGCACCTCGAGATCGACCGGAAGGACACCTGCCAACACCGGCAAAGCCTCAGTGCTAACCGTCCTATATGCCTTGCACAAAAATATCAGTGCAAGTCGTTGGCCTTGTAACAGTTTGCGACGGACAGCGCCTACGGTCGCCCTATCGGCCCATACAGGTGCACCATAGCACATAGAACCTAAATAAGTAGCTCCGTATATGATCTTTAATGTATTAAATGATAGACCCCATGTCGCAGTTGATATCCTTGTCAATGCACAGAAACTCTTTTTAGACTTTTCATTAACTATTTTAATATGTTCGATAAATGAAAAGTTTCTTTCTAAAACTAACCCTAGATAACACACTGCGGTTTTATTTTTTACAGTAACATTGTCAAATCTAATGCTCGGCGGTGATTTGAGGTTACCTTTTAAAAGTAGCTGGAAGGTTTTGTTGGGTGCAAAAGTTAAGCGATTACGTTCACCCCATTGAGATATCAAGTTCAAACATCTATTGGCTAATCTCTCAAGCCCCGCCCTAGTATCAGATTCCACCAGTAATAAGCCGTCATCAGCATACGCGTTCAGAGTACATCCGGATGGTATTGGTATCGCAAGAAAATCGTCGAAGCCGATATTCCACAAGTATGGACCTAGCACCGATCCCTGAGGACATCCCATTGTAAGCGCCTTCGACACAGAATGATGACCAAGTCTTAGTTTAGTTGTACCTTGTGAAAAGTACGAAGAGATAAGGGAATAAATATTTTTAAAGCACCCCCTTGATTTTAATTTCAGCAACAGCATGGGCCACCATGCGTTGTCGAAGGCGCCAGATATATCTAAGAAAATAGCCAGCACGTATTGAAATTTTGACCCTGTGACAAACTTTCTAACCGATATAGCAGCGTCAGTTGTCGATTTACCCAACGTAAATCCAAATTGTCTATCATGAAATTTGACTCCACCAGGCAGAAGCCGGGGCACTACAAGACGTTCTAACAGCTTTCCTAATGATGGTAACAATGTTATTGGTCGGTAGGATTTAGGATCATCCGGTGGTTTGTCGCCACTTTTTGGTATTATACGAATATTACCGCAACGCCATATACGAGGAAATATTCCTTCAGCAATGCAACGTTTAAAGACAGTGAAAATCGTGTCACCCGAAAGTTTACAAGCTTCTTTTATCATTTTGTTAGATATTTTATCATCGCCCGAAGCCTTGTTTAGCGGCAAGGATCTAACGATACCGAGAAATTCGTCTGAAGATGGTAAATCAGACATTGGAGACAGTGGTGGTTCGATGGCCCACTGCCTGATCTGTCGGTGATGATCAGTGTCGTTCTCCGGCCGATCGTCAGGTACGAGTGAGTCTAAAAGATATTCCGCTGTTTGTTCTACTCCTGTGGTATATCTGTTATTAATTTTGATGTTCTGTATGTATGCAAGGTCGATTGATCTATTTGCCTTAAATTCGTGATACAAAGGTGACCACGGGCCCTCTCTATCGAGTTTATCAACAAGTTTCTGAATTAAGTTTCCCTTGGATTTTTCCACAGCAGCTCTGTAGTGGGACCTGGCAACTCTAAGAGCAATGAGAGCATTGTTGTACAAATCCCCTGTTACGTTATGTTTTTTAATAGTGTTTAATTTTCTACGAGCTTTCCGGTAGCTTCTACGTAGTTCGGCTAATCTATCATTCCACCAATCACATCTACGAGTGTTAGTGATAGATCCGCGACCAATAGTTACATCAGCGCAGTATGTAAAAGTTTCTGATAGTATTTCTGCGCTTTCCTCAGCTGATAAACTACTGCGACTGAAGTCTTTGGTATGAGTTGCAAAGAGTGAACCAAACAAAGCCCAGTTCGCACCTTTAGTTTTATATCTGAAATTATAGGGAGCCCTTTGTGGATCCTGTGCAACCCTTGGTATGAATTCGTACACGATCAAGCGGTGATCACTACAGGATGCGTCCGGAAGGACACGCCATCCGGATATCGAGACGTCGCCGCGCGTAAGCGTCACGTCAATAGAAGACTCACCCATTGGGTTGCAAAAAGTTGGTGGTGCATCGGGGGTATTGTGAATAATAAGATTCATTTCCGCAATGAAATCTTCAACCGCACAACGTCGAACCGTGTCGGTTGAACGCAACTTGCCATACCATAATGAAGATGACGCATTGACATCAGCGCCAATGATAATTTTATGTCCCACGAGGAACTGCAAGACGTAACGTAAGTGATGTAAGTGAGGATCAATAGGATGTGAATATTGAAAATAGCAGCTCACTACGTAAACCTTACAGGTAGAGGATGAGATCTCAGCAACGGCGCAGTGTGACGTCATAAGATTACGCAAAGATGTTACCGTAAAATTAGAACTTGCAACATATATCCCAGCCTGCGAACGGCAGTCAAGCTGTACTACATTACGACGCAAGCGAGCGCTCTGATATTGTTCTTGTAAAAGGACAATGTCTAACTTTTGTTCTAAAATTAAACGGTCTAATTCTAATGTAGCTATTTTATCGTTATGAAGATTTAACTGGCCTATCGAAATATTATTCATTACTAGTAAGTTACTCTTTAAACTTTTTTTTTTTTTTTTTTTTTTTTTAAACTAAGTTAAACTATTCAGTAATTGGTATTTAATATTAGCTGTTCCAGTTTTAATTTGTATGTGGCACAGTCGTATGAGCCGCATCGATGGTCAGATGGTTTTTTGAACCGCTTACACTGTGCGCACGTGGGCTTAAAATCTGGTGTGTCTTTATCTGGACAAGCTCGCGTTTCGTGTGCGGCGGCGCAATTAGCACAAGTAGGGGTTTTAATGGTGCAAAACTTTTGTACATGACCGAATTGCTGACAATTTAAGCAACGAACTACTTCTATATCGTCTCCGGTTTTATTTTACACTGAGGCTAATAAAAGTGTGTCAACTTTGTTTGTTTTTAAACAACTGGTCTATATAACTGTACATGACATAGTACTGCTGGGCTCGAGTCCTCCTGGATTCTTAAGAGTTTTGGACACCTTGAAAATATTGGAATTCCCATCCTTGATTCCTTGACAGTCTGAGTTGAAAACAAACAATGAAGGATGTTTGCCGGACTTAAAATATGCACATAAGTAAACACACAAAAGAAAATCAATTTGAACTGGTGAATTTTGAGATTAAAACGATACGAATTACGTACGAACGTTAAAACGATTCGAACGTAATATGAATTATTACACCGCACTCATTAATTTATTTTTTAGGGCGGCCTGAAATAGCGTACGATGCGAATCTTGGCCAATAGTATAACGAATATGTTGAATAACGGTGAACGTATATAAATAATTAAAGGAAAGAGCAAACAAGTTTTTATTTATTTTTATTTTCACAAAAAAAACAACATGCTATTGTCTTTAGCCTAGACGAGTGGTATTTTTTTTGTGATGAACAGAACGACGTAGATAAAAATATAATTACTCAGTTTAAGTGTTTACTGGGTTATTCGGTAAATAAATTGTGTTATTTTCCTGTTGTCATTTTTATGATTTTGAAAAACATCCTATACACTTGTGGCTCATCTTTATTTAAGTTTGTGATTCATATAGGTACTCAATATATTTCCACAGCAATAAGCAAAATATGTACATATTTAATTTACATATATTTAGTCAGCTTAGGTAGTTTAGTTAGCAAGAAAACAAAACGCTTTACAAAAAATTGTACATAATTAATTATATTGTGGAGATATTAGGTCTGTTATGACGGTGATTCTCAACATAAGCAGTGTTTAGTAATTCTGTAGTTGGAAAAGATTTGACGAATTTCTATGCCGTGTACGACTCTGATTACTCATGACTAAGGTTTAATAAAAGTATTCGCCACTCATCGGAGACGTCTCCAATACCAACGATTATAAGATTACTTGATAATTCGACTTCGAACCGTGTCAGTCAAAGCTCATTTTTGTTGAGTTCTATGTTAATTAACTCTGGTTTGATCAATCGTGTTTGAGAATATTATCAATCATCAATTTATTTAAAGCGGCAGAGCAACGAAGACGTCGCTACATGTTTGATACTCGTATCTACAAAAGGTTATGGTTTTTAAAGTTCAATAACAAAAAACACTACTTTTTAAGAATAAATAACTAAACTCCTATTTTTTAAGATGATCTCGAGTATTTGTTAAATGTAAACTTTATTAAACTTCTAAAATGATATTAAAAGAACATACATCAAAGCGTAACAGCAGGATTCAACAGTAATGTTGACGTTAGCTGACGTAAGCGCACATAATGGATTACATCCAGAATAAAAACTACATCGGGAGTCGTTTCAAAGTGATCTAATTTTATATGCAATCTTAAAAGTACGTATGTATGTATAGCAGCTGTTTTGAAGATAAGCTCTTTATTTACTGAGCATAAGATTGCCACACGGCACTACTTCTGCTTCAACTGTTTGCATGTGAAAATCAAACTAAAATATTTTTACTTTGGAAGAAATTCTCTTGCTTCAAATATCATTATAAGATAGTAACATTTCCCAGTGCGGTAGCCTGTCGTTTTACAGTCGAAATTCTGACATGTTATTCAGGAACTTTCTTTTTATGTTATATTCCAGGCACTGGTAGTAGAATTCGCTTATGGAGCAGAAGAATCTTGGAAGTGACACATGGTTAAAAAAAAACAAAAGGGCCGGACACCTATTAAGCTTTCGCTTGGCACCTAGCCAGGTCATATTTACAAGTTATGAGATTCTGGCTGCTTAGTGTCAAAATGTAATTCCTTATTTATGATTAAATTACGTTGAATAGAGTAAACGGCAAACGTAGTGTATGACGCCCACAGGCCAGGTGGAGTGACGATTTGCGCAAGATGGATGGCAGGAGCTGGATGCGAGAAGCCCTAAATCGATCTAAGTGGAGTGCAATGGGAGAGGCCTATGTCCAGCGCACCAGGGACTTCCTTTTTTCTAGGGTATACCTGGTTCCCCGGCTTTTAGTACCCGGGACGGTGTGCGGTTTTAGTCGGTTCGAGTCCGAAATACCACCGATAGGTGGTATCCGAGGGGAATTCCGCACGGAAAAAAAAAGGCCATGTCCAGCAGTGGACTGCGATAGACTGATGATGGTTGATGAAAAATAGAGTCAAATGCATTAATAATCAAAAATTAGAGCTTCATGAATGATACTAACTTTTAAATGGCCATAAATAAACATTTTTTTTTGTTTTCAGAAATACGTAATTGGACTAAGACTTTATTATATTAAATGTATAGACAGATTATTTAAATTAGTTGATTCGGAGCGTAGAGCTTGGCCTACTTAAATTTTTGTTATTATAGAAATAAAATATTCTTATATAATAATATTACATTTCTTTTATGTCCTTGTAGTTTTACATACTAACTTATTACTTAACTCAATAACGAAGGAATTGGTCAATATATATAAAAAGACGATCACTTTGCATTGAAGACAACCTGAGTTCTTTACAATTTGCTAAATATTATATGCGAACCAAAAACCAAAAGACATCTTTGTTGTTTTTGTTGTTTTACGTACCGTACAATACACATATTTTATTCCTAACTAAATCTGTCAGCGTGTCACGTTTCTGTAACTATACATAAACTATGATTAACAGCACATCTAACATCTACAGTCTTCATATCTTACGTATATAATGAATATGCCTTTGAAATTTATACGACAGGATTGAAAGATGCTCAATGTATTCTAAAAATATCAAGCTGGCTTTTGGCCAGGAGAACGTGGTATGTCCGTGAGGAAACCCCTATAATATCTGCTTGATTTAGTGAATTAAAAAAAAAAAACAGATTTATAATTTGCCGGAAAGGATAATTTTAGGCCATCTACGGTACCGGTACTGTTTGATAGTTCTGACAGATTAAAGAATAGGGAGGTGTCAAAGAAATCGTATACTACAATATCCGATTCTTAAAAGATTTCGATAACATTTCTTTGTATTTACTAATTGACTAAAGTTCTATATAAATAATTAAATTACAAAGATTGATTTAAAATTACATTAATTTACATAGTTTTAATTTTATTTATGCGTTTTTGTTGACTGTTTGGATGTCAGATGAAATTTGTGTAGATATTATTAAATACTAAAAGACGCCTGGATTGAAAACGGCTTGTTATTAATAAATATGATTATTCCTACATTACTACGATTATGCGTATACAAGTGACGCATCGTATAAAAGCAGTTTGAAGAGTCACAACACTACAGTAATCAACTTAACAACGTGACTTTGAAACGAAGTCTTAAAAAAGCTATCTACTGTATATATTGATTATTTTGCTTTATTAAAAACATTTAAAGTTTTATTTAGTAATTAAGAATAATACATCTTGTGATAAAATAAAAAACGACGGGTTGCACTCCGGGAGTGCCGGCAGAAGTGAAAACTTGAATATTAACGTTGTGCATTTTTGATATTTTGGAATGGTTAGGGAATAATTTTATAAACATACACGAACATTCGCGCAAGCGCCCTGCGCCGCCTAAACGAAACAGCAGGCGCAGGCATACATTTTCGCCGCGCCGCGGCGCCGTAGTAAGAGAGGGGGATACTTCCTCTCCTACGCGGCGCCGGCTGTCTACTCTCCATCCGTCTTAAGAATTTTCGATCAGGTCACGTGTCCTGACGCGAGTTTAACATTTTTTACCCATTACAAAAAAAGTGTACAACGCCGCTAAAGAAGTTTTCACTTCAAAAATAACTTCATAATTCCATGGTTTTACGGAAATGATTATTGAAATTGTGTGAGTTACACGTGTGTTGCGGCGCAGCCCGGCCACAGTAAATTTGTTTCGTCGTGAAAAGTATGAAACGTCAAACGGTACCTCTTAGATTAGATGGACTTATAGATAATATTCTCAAGGAAAAGTTATAGTACGAGATCCGGCTGCAGAATCAATGCACTCATCGAGTATGTGCTAAAACCCAGTTTCTACGCATATTTATGATTAGGAGATTATATATCTACAAGGGCCTCAATTCTGCTATTTTAATATTGTATCAGTAGGCTGTCATTTCGTTCACTTGTTTTTGTATAATAAACGTAAATAACTTGTTTGAATAATAAACGTTCATAACGTACGTTTATTATTCATATATCAAATTAAAGCTATTTTTTCTGTTTATTATGATATACGGTTGCCTAAATAAATCTGGCCGCTAATAAGGGTTGCTGGCTCTTAAATATTTAAGCTAGAGTGAAAGAAAGTTAGCGCGTAACATCACTAGTCAGACGAGGATAGCGATTGCCGACTGTACGACCCTTAAATTTATCATTTTGTAAAGGAAGACATTTCTTTTGGAGTATTTATTAAGTCGTCCCTACTACTGTTTGCACAGGTGATGAGAACACTAGCATTCGAATTATGCGCAATGGCTTTAAAGCGCAACGATAACCGTGATTTTTCAGAGTCTTTACGAGTATATATATATTGCCGTGAAGTGGACGATATTTTATTTAAAAAACAAGTGAATGAAATGTTTTGATATGAGATTTTTTCACTGGATCTGGATCTGATGGACTGGATCTTAGACTATTATACGTTTGTCAGTCAGCGATAGTCGCTAAGGAAGTGCTGAAAATGATGATGGCTAGCATTCTCTCGTGTCAGAGAAAAGACACAAAGCAACTGAGAGTGGAAAAATGTCCTATTGCCCTGGAGGTACACGTTACCCAGCGGAAGTAAACATGGACGATGGCGATAAAATACGCGAGAGGCTCTTTGAACTAGAAATTAACACCTTCCAAACGTAATGGTGTGGGTGCCAAAGCTTCGGGGATTTTCGGGATATCGTTTAAATAGTTATATTAGTGATGTACCAGCGTGTGGTTTACTTGGTTCGATTCCAACGTACAATTTTACTGCTAGCCCCGGTGAAGTGAAGACAGATGGAAAACACCACATGATAAAAAAGTAAGACTTAAACTAAAGCCGAGTCTTAGTAAAATTCCACTGCAATTAGAAGATATCTCCTAGTATCAAGACTTCGGGATGATTTTAGGTTATTTTTTAGTTCCGCGAAGTAGGATCGAGAAAGCACGATATCTTTGGCTTTACGTTAATTTATTTTAGCCAACTGAACTGAGCTGACTTTATCCACATAATCAGTTGTGTAGGACTAGCCAAGTACTCGAGAGTCACATTACTGTTTCACAGTAAAAACAAAACTAATACTAAATCTGATGTTTTGTCATATTTACACATGTCATAATAATTAACACTTCAAAAAAATTTTGAGCGGCGGTAGAATACAACTCGCTATCATATAAGTGTATAAAAAAATGGGGATGTAACTATAAACAACCGAGTTAATATTGTTTATGAAATGAAATAAATAAAAATTGATAGGTCGATTTCGATTAAATATTGGTATACAACCTACCTTGTAAAGGTACAAGGGTATAAATTGCCGAAAGCCTGTGCAAGTTTACCTTGGAACTTGCAGTCATAGAAGGTATTCTATGACTGCAAGTTCCAAGGTAAACTTGTACCTAAGACCTACTTAAATGGGTGGTACCTATAATTAAGAACAAATTGACCTAGAAGCGGATGCCCGATTAGGACAGATAGTTAGATAATAATTATTTTTCTCACTGACATGACTGTTTAGCTCAATGGATTAATAGGACGTTTTATTTAACAGCCTTGGATAGTAAGCAACAAAACATTTATCTATTTAAAAAGTTAACACGTGCATCTAACAGAGACTTCCGCAGTATAAATTCAACGTACCACATACTTTTTAGTATCACTAAAACTATGGCAGTAAATTGTTAACGTACCTACGCCTCTGTATCTTTATGTCGAAAAGTGTAGTCAGAGCTCGACGGCGACCAGTGTTACCTCGACGGCGACGAGACGACAAGACTTGAAGGGACAAATAACGATTTAATTAAATTGGCTTTACAAAAGTTAGATTAATTTTTAATTTAAAAAAATGTGTTGAATTATAAAATAATAATACATAATAAACACCACTAAAATACATTATAAAGAAGTGGGTCAAACGCCCTAAGCCAAGGTTCGTACCTCACAGGGGATGTGGGCCCTTGGGCGATGGTACTTAATTAAGACCGCTTGAGAGCCCAGCTTCAGCGCTCACCGAAAGCCTGTGCAAAGTTGTCGAGGCCATCTGAGGCCAACAACCATTACATCACACATAAAAAAAAACACTCTATTTAAAAGATAATTATATATTGAACAACTAAACTGAACTTTCTAACAGTATAAACATTTAGAAAGAAATATTGACAATAAACCAGTCAGCTGAACCCGTTTACAAATGATGAGCTATTTACCTACTACAAACGCAAAGGTGTTTAGTTTAGACAATATTTGTTTTATCTGTGATGCATTTTTTTAGCCTTTTCATATTAAATAGCTAGTAGTAGAGTAAGTAAAATTATTATTTTTAAATAAAAAAAAAACAAATAAAGGAAAACATATTTCTAAATGCCGTATAATTCTAAATTTGAATATTTAACCATTTTGAAATTTATGCCCTGAGATTATAAATTTATTTTGTAAGACTTTTTTTTTAGTTCGAGAATATTTCTATTATGGTCATATTTGAGTGTGGTGAGTGTTTTTTTACAAGAACTCGGTACTAAGACCTATGCTTACGTCATTTTTATATTTTAATAACAAACTGTATTAGAATAGAATACCAGTTTCTTGAATTATTACTTGCTTATTAAAATAAAAACCATTTTTATTTGATTAAATTTACATAACATTATCGACATCTATTATTAACTCTTCAAAACCAAGAGCTAAAGGGGTATTATGATACAGATACAACAAAGCAATGTGAAACTGATTTGTAATTTACTGCTTTTTCAATAGATGGCGTTCTGTTCAAATTAAAAAATAAAACAATAAAGAAAAACAAAGAATTTGACACTTGAGAAAAGTAATGATTTATTAATGAAAGCATTACTCTATACCACAAAGACATGAAACAAAAGGTGACGTTGGCGATAAGTACGATGAGATTCTTTATTTATGATATGACTTATTTATTACATTTAAAAAGGTATAGGTATTTTTGACGAATATGAAAACCTATTGTAGGTACGTACATAGTTTATAAGCTCAATTTAAATTAGGTTAATATTAGAAGCATGTAACATTTAGTTATAAAATATAAAAAATCATAAATACATTACCTCGACGACATTATTGTTCCTGTTTGGGTTGTTTATACCTTATTATCTTCCTTAGTTATCTCATTTTATACATCGAATGCTAGTCGTCTTTTAAATTAAAGTGCAATTTAATTATTTTCATTATTCACTTGTATCCAGAATTGCAGTTTTATTTTAAGCCGACCACAAAAAAGAGGTAGAGTCTTAGTTAGTATTATTCATGTATTTAATGTATTATAGAGTATTATTAATGTGTGTATTACGAGTGTATCGTTTTTTTTGAAATAGTTATTCTATATATACCTACCTAAGAGAAGAAATTGCAGGAACGAATGAATAATAATGCTTAGTTCAATCTATCACGGTCTAAATAAGGGCATTGGCTGTGAAACTTGAGCTTTGCCAACTTTATCTACTGCAAACTTTTGTCCCCAATTTCATTCGCTAAAAATTATTTCCAGGTATTTCCTCAAGGACTATATATTATATTGTAAATCAATGAAAGGCACCTGTGTCCGTTTTTAATACCTGGTTAGTATTAGTATAACTTTATGACGATTAGTTAAGGTGTTAAAGTGTAACAAACAAACACGTAGACAAACAAACTGACATTCATATTTTTATTATTAGTTAGGACTGTAATCGAAATTCAATGTCTAACATAATAAAGTCACCGATGTTTCCCTTAAACATGAATATTTAAAAAAACAATCAATTCCTATTCATGAGGAAGGCTATCATTTTACTGCAAGTTGTGATTTGTGACCCTACAACGGAGTAATGACTATAAACAAATGAAATTGTGATGAACTACTAGTTTAAAACTAATAAATAAGCTCTACACAGGCATTATAAGTCAAAGAGGTAGCAAATAAATATAATATAATGAAACAATACTTCTTTATTGTGTGCCCCGTGCCTTTAAGATGGATAACAATGAACCACGCCATTTTGAATACAATGATATCAATCAAAGTATGGTTCGTGTATCTCTTGCTGTGATGCATACAAATGGCTCTGTCTAAGTATTACTGATTTTTATGAAATATTTGCGTAAACACATAATTTTAATCTCTGTTTAGGTTGTATTTTATTATTAAGAATATGTGTTCTATTGATATTGAATTTAACATTTTCTCCAATGCATCAAAGTTGTCCAACCAGACTCGATTACTCTTTCGTTAAGTTATTTTTTACAATTCTATCAATATCAACATCAATATTAGTTTTTAAAGGAGATATTTTTAAAAATAAAGTTACGACGGCGGGCCCTGGTTTAGACAGCTTTCACTAGTTTTTCTACCGGAAGGTATAAATTGTGATAAATATAAAAGGTTTTCAATTTATAATATTATTCAACGTGGCAATGTGAGGAAATTGGACGGCACTTCACTATTAAAACATGTGTATGAAAATATTCAATCAAGCAATTTTACATAAATCATTTTAATGATATCAATACGTGTGGGTAAATACGGTTAAATATAAGAGTTACTGAAAATTTATGTTTATGTTGTTTAAAATATATATATATGTTTGTATATATCAAAAAGAAAAAAACAGAACTTTTTACCAAACTTTTCAACCTGAACTAAATATTAATCAGTTACATGAAACGCTATTAAAAATTCTGTTTTTTTTCTGTAACACTATATTTAAGAATTGAGAAAAAACATAATATCAAATTTACTATAATACACTACAAATTTACTAAAATATAATTCAAATCAATTCATCATGATGATCATGCATTCATTCTTCATTCATCATTATAGCTATAAATAAATAAGCAACGTATCATACCTTATTGACAGAGTTCCTTAATATCCCATTTATTCTTTTCATCACTACATAATAACAATACATACAAAATAATACATTCAATGATATAAATCAAGATAATTTTAAACAAACCTTACTAACGAGATTTATCAAAAAAATATTTTGTATTTGTATTATATTATATAATCGATCCATATTTTGGAATAAAGAAAAATAAGAACAAACATATGAAGGGATGTGTTGTCACTGATGTATATAAAAGTATAGAACAAAGTATTATTAATAACATCATCACAATATACTAATTTACAAAATAAAATTATATTGTGGTGCGTATCACAGCACAAGTAGTGTCGGAATGATTTTTTGAAACATGCGAGCAAGTATTTGAAATGGAAAACAAATACTCAAGATTCAAAATCGACAGAGTTCTTTTTTTTTAAAGTTAGTCTAACAATATTGAAGGAGACTGCACGTATCGTGAGGCTTTCGCGACTGGGACCGCGAGCGCAAATTCCTCCTATAAGTAGATAATTATTTTCGAGTAGTATATTGTGACGACTAATAAGAAAAAACAATTTTGTTTTGGGAAAGTACGGTTAACAAAAAAAATTGAAGTCAAACAAATAACTACGTAGTTTTTTTTATAAACTATTTTACTATTATTTTAAAATATTCCTTTTATTTCAAAAATGGCATTACCATGCTTGCTATTTTTTCATAGGTTACCAGCATGGCCAAGTGCACTATCAAATAGTAATTTTAACATAAACTTATATTATGCATGTAGGTCCTCCGTACACCAAACTTTACTTGTAAATAATATACAAACCATATTTGATCATAGTGTCGGTCACAGGTGTCACTTTAAGATACATTTATACGTACAATGTACATATAATAGTAGTATTACTATGATATGTACATTGTACGTATATGACGATACCGTCAGGCCCGTCTCTAGCCTATTGGAGGCCCTGGGCAAATTAGCTTAATGGGGCCCCTACTAACTTAGCTGAGCACTATTTTGTTAGAATAGAAAAAAAGTATTGTAGTTAGTCATTACAAATGAATTTTTCAAAATAAATATGTATTTGGTCATATAATTATGGAGGGGCCCTGGGTACGTGCCTAGAGTGCCCAGTGGGAAAGAGGGGATTTTTTTTTTTTCCGTCCGGATGTCCCCTTGGATACCACCTGTCGGTGGCATGTCGGACTCGAACCGACTAAAACCGCACGCCGTCTCGGGTACTAATAGCCGGGGAACCAGGTATACCCTAGAAAGGAAGTCCCTGGTGCCCCGACATACTTGGCCCCCCCCCCCCCGTGTGGGAACCCCATGTTCCCTCTGCTCCCTGGAAGCGAACGCGCTTTGCTTCGCAACGCGCTCGCCAACTCCCCGGCCTGCTTCTGCTAGGGTGACAGATGGGCTCACCTGTCACCCCCGGATGCGCTTATGGAAGACGGAGGTCGTTCTGCGACCTCCGGGGCCTGAGTCGCCTGCGGTACCTGGCCCGTTCCCATGACCTTGCCGCGCGCCGTCACGAGCGTGTCGTCCGCCTAGCACACGACGGCGATACCATCCAAGAAGGCACCACGAAGCACCCAGTCGTAGCCGATGTTCCACAAAAGTGGCCCTAACACCGACCCCTGTGGAACACCGCACGACATTTCACGCCTACCGAGATCGGTTCTACTGGGGTAGGGTCCTCTTGGCAACCCTCTACCCCGCTGACAGCTCCACCTCTCTCGCTGCCGCATCTTCGGGCCGGCGACGCCTCCCGCGGATCCTGGACCACTGGCGGCGCGCGGTCACGCAGGCTTGACGCAACCGTGCGATCTCCGGCGACCACCAGTAGACCTGGCGCCTCGCAGTATTGGGCTGAGCCCTAGGCATCGCCGCATCGCAGACGCGGGTCATGGCCTCCCGGAACCACTGTGCCTCAGCATCGACGTCGACAGGCCTGTCCGGCGCAGGGGCCCAGGTCTGTACGATGGGAAAGAGGGGCCTGAGTATCGTACATATCAATGTACATATCTAGGTGATATCTATGGGTGTTTTTCATGAGGAGATCTTAATCAAACTGTTCGATTAGTTTAAGGCCTCATTATACTTAAATTATATTTCATACAAAATTGTGAGCGAAAATTGTATTTAAAAATTTAGTGATAAAGTAAAAAATAAATAATTTCGCAGAGAGCAGGTTAATTTAGGTATTGGCATTTAATGGGTTTTAATAAAATATCCACAAAAAGAGAAAAAAAACAAAATCTTTGACCCTTATATTTCATTTACAATTGAATATATTTAGAAACAATTTAGTAAAACGAGAGCTTAAAAGATTGTCTGCCGTAGGTACGAGTAGCTACGCTTTATATGCGAGTCACATGATAAATTGGCGTCAGTGGCTCGTAAACAAACATCCGCTGTCAAATCGTAATACCTCTTATTACTAATTGTTCTTGTTACTCTTACTTGTTGTGTTGTTAGATTGACAACATTTTGTTATGTTATTTAATATGTGTCAATTAAAGTGCTATATTATGTTGCTAATGCGAAAGCGATCATATAAGACTATATAAGAGAAACATGCCACAATCCTAGAAGAAAAAGAACTGCAAAAAGAAACTGCATTGTAAAGAGAATGAAAACTTAAAACAAACCCTATACCAATCCGTCTGGGCATGGGCATGGTTACGGCCAAAAACCTCCTTTCTAAGGAGAGGCTTATGTCCAGCAGTTAACTATTATAAGGTTGTTGATGATGATGATATCATATTTACTCTTTACTTTTCAGTGTGCGGGAAAACGCGAGCCCGAGAAGGAGGTAGAAGCCCAGCAATGGATAGAAGCAGTGATCGGCGAGAGGTTTCCAAACATCCCTTACGAGCATGCTCTCCGCGATGGCATCATACTGTGTAAACTGATGAACCGCCTCCAGCCTGGTATCATTTCTAAGGTCAACGTTTCCGGTGGGGACTACAAATTCATGGACAATATTAATCAGTAAGTAACAAAATTTTTTTTATGATTTTCCGGGTTTTAGGGACGAATGACTATGGAAAACACGGGGCAAACTGACTTGAGCATTTCATATAAAATTCAAAGAAATTCATTAGAATAACTTACTCTGCTGAGTAATCCATTGCAAGTAATCAAGTAATCAATTGTAAGTCATAAAAATTATAGTTCTTATGATCACGTATTAATTCAATAATAATAGGAGTGTAAATATTTTTTTAATCTTCTTCATAATTTGTGTTTATAGATTCCAAAAAGCATGTGTCAAATATGGCGTCCCTGATGTAGACCTCTTCCAAACGACAGACCTCTGGGACCAGAAGAACATTGCTCTCGTCACACAAACCATCTTTGCCCTTGGCAGGACAGTAAGTAAAAGAAGAAGAAGAATTTTCTTTTATCTTTTAGAAGACGAAATGATATCATTTTGTCTAGAAAGCTAGAATAATCATTCTTTAAAGATACAAATAGCTATTGTGAAGATGGTCATAGATGGAAAGGAGAATGCCCATACCCCGTACCACAAGTAAATTAATACCGGAAATAATGTTTTATTTGGGATCCTTACTTTTCGCATAATGTTTTTTTTCCTAATATACTTTGTCATAACTGTTTTGCCACAATTTTCATTTGCATAATGTTACTAAGCATAATGACTATTAGCCTGATAGTATTGAGGCCTAAAAATTAAAAATCATTAGGAATAATGGAATGATTTGAATAGATTTAGGTGCGGCGGTTACGCCATGTTATATTGTGTCTTTAAATTTTATGCGAACGGATAGTAATCCGTTTTATTTATGTGTATATTGTAGTAATTTAGAATGTTTTTTTTTGTTTATTAAAATCCAAAAAAAGAATAATATTTCTCAATACATAACAATTACCTACCTCCACAACAAACAAAAGTTCAACTTCCGAAAACTATTACCTTCCGTTACAGTTATCGGTTATTTTTGTAAGTTGATCGTTACATCAACAGCCTTCAATAGTCCTGCTGGACATAGACCTCTCCTTAGAAAGGAGGGTTTAGCCTGCTATATAATGTTGGCCAGACGAGTTGTTACGGGGTTTGTGTCAAGTTTTCTTCTCTTTGCAGTGCAGTGTTGTCCTGCGTAGTTTGTTCCCTTAGTCGTCTTACGACACCCACCGAATAGGGGTGTTGACACTCAGTATTCTTAATCTGTCACCACACGGATAACGGACTTGATAATGAACATAATAAATTGTTTTCGTAAACTGATAATTAGCATAAAAACTAAGAATAATAACGAACATAAAAACTTGTTTAGCTGCTGCTGTCTAGGTAAACAAGACTATAAAAGTAGTAGTAAATAATTAAGATTTAAAAACAACTGCCATTAAATAATTTTATTTTGTCTCACCCTTGTTTTTATATAATAAATATTGTGTAATAGAGAGACTCAAAACGCTAACAGTTATTTCCGCACAACAAATTATGGAATGTCAGTGTCATTGTCAACTTGGTTATGGCTTCTTGTTGATATTTGTATTGTCTGTATCGATCATTGTTTTTGATGCTGCGTTGAATGCTTGGTGGTCGATTCGCATAAACTTGTTCGCACATTTTTTAGAGTTGTCAATTCGCACTAATAAATTCAGTTTGTGCGAATCGACCACTAACACAATATAAATTTAAAAAAGGGTCGTTTCGCACAAAGTGGGCTAACAAATTTGTGCAAATCTACCACTAAAGCCCGTTTTTCTGGAGTAATTTATTCATTACTTCTACAATAACCATTGAAAATATTGAGATCTGTTGTGTCGTAGCCTATAGTGATGTTCATAATGCCTAAACAGTTAATAATATTTGAATGTTTTGAAAATATTGTAAAACATCAACAACATCTTGTTGGAATTAGGCGTACAAAAACTAGTCTCTTGAGAGTAAATTCGTTTTGTTCGGATCCTCATTCAAAAGTGTGCATTGTCCTTTCAGGACTAACCTCACATAGAAAACTATTAGATAATACGTTGCCAGATCTGTTGTTGTTTTTTTTAGGTCTAGTATATTTTGGTGTTTTCATAAGTTAGCATCAGATATTTTAAATACAAAGGGCAATTTAACAATGACTTATCTGTGTTTTTTACAGGCCTACAAACACCCTGAATGGAGAGGGCCCTATCTCGGACCTCGGCCAGCAGAAGAAAACCGTCGTGAGTTCAGCGAAGATGTTCTCCGTGCCGGTAACTCTGTCATCGGCCTACAAGCTGGTACAAACAAATTGGCCAGCCAATCTGGACAGAATTTCGGTGCATCCCGTAAAATTATTCTTGGAAAGTAAACTACGTAATTATTAAATAGTTTGCTCCTGGGAATCATCATGATGCATATTATATTTTTATATTGTAAATGTTAATGATTGGTCTAGATAAGTCTCTTTATGTACCTACATTATTAAAATAATTTATTAAAAATATGTATATCTATTTCATGTCATAATGATTAATAAATATTAAATTTTGAACTGAATGAAATAAATGTAGTTATACATTGCTTTAAAAAAGTACAACACGTACATTTCGACCTTTTTAATGTTAGCAACTAAATAGTTTCAGGAAGCTATGTTTATGTGTGTATATACAAAATAAAGCTTAATGGTCAGTTGTATACTTTTATTACCTGCAGGAGTGACGGCTAAGGGGAATGTCCGTAATGTTAGTCACTTTAAACCTGTCTTGCTGTAAGATACATAATTTAAAAAAATCCTTCCCTTTTATTTCAAAGTTTGCATGTGCATGATACAAAGGGATATTTAATCATATACATCAAACAGCAGAGCATAAATGTCAGCTGAAACATTATTCGATGTTTGACAGAACGCAAAAAGACCCGAAATTCGATCCCATTTAATCAAGGAGATTCAATAGCAAAAAGGAGGTTCTCCAAAATAATAATAATAACTTTATACATCTCACACATGTATGTACCTAACTTAATATATTTTATTAATTAGTCTCTAATTATAATTACTCTTAGGTATGCGCTTATCGAATGCACAAACTCGTTTTTTTTTAATTACTGTTTTGAACTATCAATAAGGGTAAAAAAAAACGTATTTTATCGAAACGTAACAGTCTATCCGGTGGCGAGGGTGCGACAAGGACGGAACTACCACTATCGCGGGCACCCAGCAATGTAATTCCGTAATAATAGTCTTATAGGTGTTTTATTAATGTTTTTTAAACTTTCTAACTAAAATGCTATGTGATGAGTCAGTTAGCCTTTGTTGAGTCTTGTATTGTATCCCTGAAAATGACAAGATCGAGGGGAATACTTGATTTAATACAAATAAATGGTGAGAACGACCAACAAAAATTTGATACATAATCAGTTATTTTGAATGCGGGTAAGTAAATACTTTTGTTTTACTAACACGTAATTATAAAATAGACTATTATTTTTTTATTTTAAAGTATAGGCTACCTAAATTAGATTTTGTTATTAATCATACTAATTATTTTTCTAGCCTTACAAATGTTTCCCGCGTAATATATTGAATCGGCACATTCAAATGTTGATTACAGTTTGTCATATTCCAATAGTAACGAGTGGCAGTTCCGATTATGTACCTACCTATGTCTAAACTGACGACTTCGATACCTACTCTACGTGGTATTACAAACTCAAATCTATATTGAAAGTGCCACTTTTGATTATTTTAGATGAAGTTTATTTGCTTTTTGTAAAGATTCGATATGTGTGCTTAGTAATATCATGAAATAGCTTACTTTTTTATAGCAAGCTTATTTTCTGTGTTTTTATAAATGTAACTTAAATTATATATTATATTTATTAAATTTACCTACTTAACTTACCTTCTACGTTTTTTTAGAGTCACCACTACCCATCAACTGCGCCTTCAATGAATCCGAATCAACTCCCACACTTTATAAGCATAAACTTTCTATGTTTAACTCTACCGTTTTTAATTAACCTTACAAGAAAGTACATGCTACATATGTATGGAATGTACCGGTAAAAGAGGAGCTAATGAATTAAGTTTGCTGTTTGATGCATTTTGCAAACACAAAAATAGAAGCTCGATATTCAAATTCCAACTACTCTTGATCTCACAAATGTCATAATAGGTATTTTCGTAGTGTATTAAGAGTAGGTAAGGAAGAGATCGAGAGTAGGTCGGAACCGAAATTTGAACGAATTTTTATTAGATAATTGACCTCAGGGTACGAAGAAATAATTATTTTGGTCCGATAATTGTGTGGGCCAGAATAGAGATAGAGTCGTAGGTAACTTTGCGTTGTACAGTACTTGTTAAACATTTTGGCGTAGATATTACTTATCGTTTCTTAGAGGAAGGAAGTCATACTCAGAACGAAGACGATAGTGTATAGATAGTGATAGCGATAGTATATAGAGATACATACATATACGAAACAAATATGTTCGTGAAATCCAACATATCATACAAACTAGCAACTAAAAGTTACTACAGAAAACTACGAGATAAAAAAAAGTCGGAACTCCAAGTGACATACGGCAAAACTGCACTAATGAATAAAAGTACCTTCTGTATGGCCACCAAAATATTCAACAAACTACCTGAAATAATTAAAACGCTAAATCTGGCCAATTTTAAAAGAGAAGTATTATAAATCTTGATAAGTAAGTGCTAATACTCACTAAAGGACTATTTGGACGACAATTCTATAATTACTGCTTCAGAAAATTGTACAATACCTCGACTATCCTAATGATTTTGAATTCACATTAAATTAATTTGTTTGTTGTAAAAATTGACTGTATTTTGTATTTATTTTGACATGCATGTCATTATTCATTATTATCATTGACGTTATTAATAATGTGGAAGTTTAAATAATCCTACAAATTTATGATATTTGAAAAAGTAAAATGTGTATATTTGTACGTCCCTGGGCAAAACATAGAGGACTTACCTATCCATAACATCTCACACTCTATTGTAATTTGACCTATGTTTACAAATAAATGATTCTGATTCTGATTCTGATAGTGTCATACCACCGGTGGTTATGTCGGACATGAACCGACTAAAAACCGCACGCTGTCTCAGGCTCGGGTACAAATAGCCGGGGAACCAGGTGTACCCTAGGAAGAAAATCCCTGGACCCTGAGCCATCTTCGGCATGTAGATAACCCCCTCGTGTGTACTGTACTGGGGCGCTCCGGCATAGAGATGAGAATAGTATTTCAGATGCGGCCGGACTTGCTCCTTATAGAGTTGCAGACGGTGGGCCAGAATGAAATACTACCGAGCTTCTAGGAGGCTAATTTAACCTTACTATATAAGAGTGACCCCGAAACTAGACTTCGCGCGATATGTCGATGCCTAGGATTCCGATAGGTACTGGCTGAGGAAGTTAGGGAGGTGCTCTCAAACCGAGATAATACGACAAATGGTGTCTTTTTTTTAAGGTGAATGGTTAAATAATAAATGAAATAATAATAGCATTTATCATTATTAATTTTATTTTGGTTACATTTATTTCAGAACTATTATTGCTAAAGAAGTTTTACTATTTTTGTTTTGTAGAAATAATAATTGTGTTTTAATTGTTATCTTATTCTAAAAGTTCCCATTAGTTAAGCTTATTAAGTACTCACAGTTCACATTTGTTAGAACTTAGGTAATACATTATGTAATACGTCGTGATCTCAGTTTATAGTTAGTTAAGGTAAAAAAGACTGATGTTAAATACTCGTTCCCTTATTTAGATTAAAAACTACAACGTAAATAAACGAATGTGACACTTTCGATAAAATATATCTTACATAAATCAAAGTAGAATATCGAAATAGGCTTATCCGATTCGTTTTTGTATATAAGGATCCCTGTAAATAATAGAAAGTGCCAGTTTCGATTCATAAAGCAAGTTCAGTCACACAGTATACTATCGTAACTCAATTTTCTCGAAAACCATTCATAATTTTAGATTTTTGCTGCAACGTAATAGTTTGTAATCCCATTACAACTGTGAATTCAAATTTTTATGAAGATCTAACAATTAATGAAAAAGTTATGCAAAAAATATATAATATTTTAAATCGATGCCTGAAAAGTAACATTTTTAACTTTCGATACTTTACCTAGGGACTATAGAAATACATATTATTCCATGGAATGTGTGTATGTGTATGATTGATGAAGTTAGTGATGCCGGTTTTATAGTCATGTATGCGTAGGCCGGTGCTGCCATCATTATTTTATTTTATCAAAAATATTGGTGTCTAAGCTCACTTAGGTTGGCAATGCGATTCCATTCTACTACCTATATATTTCTTTTAGTATGATTTTTACATCGATTCACAACACAATTCAACAAATTTTACTTGTAAATACTGTTGACATTTTTGACGACATTTTGACTGACAAGGCGGTCTGGTAATAGTTTCTTTGACCTTAGTACGTGTGTGTGTAATAGTTTTAATTGGCCTCACTTCTTTGTTCACAGAGTACCATCTTAATCTTTTTACTTTGCCTGTAATTTAAATTTAAGTCTTATGATTTTTTCAAATACATCGCTTCTAACGACAAGAACGCCTGTCATTGCCCTCTATTATTAATTGTTTTTTTATTATAATGTGGTTTATAGGTAAAAAAAATCTCTATCTATTGTTTCATAAACAATGCTCTCGTAAATACATTGTAGACTGTGTGACTTGATATTTTTTGTATACCTTTATAAAAACACACGTAACCTTCCATGAATATTACAATTCTTCCTGATGTATTTTACATAATATAGTGAGAGTGCGAATGACCAAAGTAACTGGATGAATTTGGATTTAAAATAAGGGTGGAGCTCCTTGAGAATGTCAGGCCAAACTTGGCCCAGCGTTGGATGGGAGCTGGTTTTGTCATGGATAAAAATGATTAAAAAGAATCAAATTAATGAAAGTGCCAATAAATACATAAGTATTCCTTAGCGTTTTGATTCATTATTCCTTCGTAAGTATCCTAAATGTTTGTATAATTGTTTTTTTTTTTAGAGTTATGTTGTTTTCTATGTAAAATATGTATGTATGTATTTACAAAAAAGTATAAATATATTCTATCATAGTACGATTCTATAGCTTTCATAGTACGAGTACAAGCTCTGCTTAGTTTGAAACTAGACGGCGTCTCGTGTGTCAAATGTCCGAAATATTAATATTAAATAAATATAAATAATATATTAAAGAAATATTATTATTATTACTATAATCTATATATATATATATATATATATATATATATATATATATATATATATATATATATATATATATATATATATATAT